GTTTCTCTTATCGATAACTACCTGAGTGGGAGTTATAGTTGAAACATTTTCTATTTTTCTATCAATTATACTGTCGTAGTGGTTTTGGACTACTCCTCCTGTATAAAATAGTCTAAGCTGTTTCCTTCCACTCTGAGCTTCTCCGAACTCCACTCTGATCTAGCACTTTAATTTCTACCTCAAAAATTTCTGCTAGTACCACTATTGCTTCTTGTCCTAACCAATACCCATTTTGGTTCAACTTCTCCAACGCCGCTTCAAAATTTCCTTCCAATTCAATGTATTCTGCTAGGTACACTTCAAAACGTTCCCTGTTTATCTTAATGTAATAAACTATAATATAACGAAGCTTTGCTACATTGTAATCTGACATATAGTATTCGTTTTTCACTCTTCCAAGCTGGTCCAACACAGCTCTTAACAGACAATTCCCATCTCTATCTATCTTTTTAATCTTAAGAACTTCCTTAGATGATTGTTAGCTAAAATTGTAAAACTCTTCTTTTGTTTTAGTCAAGTATCTGTCTTCCGCTAATTCAAATGCCTGATTATTAGAACTATGCTTGAAATGAGGTCTTGTAATTACCGCACAAAATTCCATCTCACTATCTTTCTCCACTATTTCCAAAATATAGGGCTCTGACTTCCTCATTCTCTCTGTGACTCCAAACACGATTTCTTTCTCCTCCTTAACTATGACTATTTCTTTCGTCAACCTCACAGCTTATCTGTTTATTAAGTGATCCTGTTTCAAACATTCGTCGTCATAAAAGTTAATGCTTGTTATTTCATCAAAAATTTGTGAATTAATATTTTCTGAACCCTAACTTCCTCATCACACCATTCTTTCCTCTTATGTTTCAATTTGAGCACTTTTAAAAGACCATTTTTAAGCACTTCAAACACTAATCTTTTGTTGTTTTCATTTCTCGAACAACTATCTTCACTGTTATCTTCCAGAATAACTTCACCATTATTTTCATTCTCAATCGGTAAGTTATTCACATCACTTTCACTCATCACGTCCGTTAACTTTCCCTTATCACTTCGTTTTATAATTGCCACTTTCGGTTCCTTTTCACTTTGAAGTGGAATACTTTTCTTTTTTTTACGCTTCAGTACTTCCAAAACACTTGTCACTTCACCATTTACAGATACCCAAAACTGCAATTTCCCAAACGTTGAGTTTCTGCTATCTCTACCATATAATTTGTTTCCTCCCTCCTCAAAAAATATTTCACCTTCACATTCGAGAATCAAAGCTAAAGCCCATGAAATTGCAGGACCAAATTCTGCCGTGCCTTTCTCTACCTCCTTTAGGTGGAGGCGAACCAGCCCAAGGCTGAAAGCCTCATTAATAAAGTTAAAGAAGAAGAAGTAACTCCTTTAAATATTCGTTTAGATGATCCTTGTATTCAGATTCGGGGAAATTATTCAGACCACTGAAAAACAAAAACTCCGATTTATGGCTTTGAAAGAAATCCGTCAAAATTAAATTAAACTCCATTATCTCTTTCTCCGAGTAGCAACCTCTTCCCGCTCTATAGCAAATTTGATCTAATACGATCCGTCCCATATTATTTTTACTCTGATCGCGACTGAAGGTTAATATTTTATCCCCTCCCCAGTCAATTATTACCTTCTTGTTTTCCATACCGAAGATTCCAAATATTCCAGTTCCCACTGACTTCCTTGCACTTTTCCACTGTAATATTCTTATTCCACCACAGCTCTTTTTTATCACAGCACTTTTCCTTCAGCTTGTGCCTCAGCTTGTGCGAACGTGTTATAAAAGCAATAATACTCCAAAAAAAACTTCTTTTATGCAACACTACCCAACAAACACTGGATGCTCAAAAAGAGCAAATTTAGGCAAAAATATGTTTCTTCCGCTTAGAAATGGCTTATTCAGCCTTTAATCAGCTCAAATTGTTTGTTGGGTATGTATTGAGTTAAACACGATCATGAAAAACAGTTTCAATGACTATCACTAAACACCCATTATTCAACTGCACTACAACTTACAAAACAGGTTGTACTGAAACTTATACAAGTTATCTAAGCAACTCTTTTCAGAACAGTGCTTCCAGATATGTTTGTTAAGCTTTTATTCAATTATTGTAAAGCCGTTTTACAACGCCTAATCAATTTTGATGAGGTTGTTGTTTAATGACCTATAAAACTTTGTTTCAGCATGGGTTATACCAGTGCGCCGCCGACGCTTTTGCGCACGCCACCGCCGACGACGATTTCGATTCGGCGCGCCGCCGTGATGATTTTTTGATATGTCTACAATGTAATTTATTTATTAATAATTTATATTTTGGAAGACTTGTTTTTCTCCAACCATTGCACAAAACACACACAAAGATTATAAATTTAGCCATAGCATAGCAAGCGACACCTTAAACTACAAGGGAATTCGATAAAAATCTAAAGGCAGTAATATCGAGTTTGGCCAAATGTTACATATCAAATCACGAAAAAAATCCAAACCACCTGTTTGATGTAAGTCACAAATCTCTGCTATGTTTTTTAAGCTTTATTAGCGAGATTTTCACCTCATTGGATAGTTCATGTCGTAATCTCGACTAGTGACTAAAGTAGCCGGACTGCCAATATCTGCACAAACATTGAGCATTCATCCAAATAACATGGATAGAGTCATAATTTTCCTTCTTATTCTTACTGGCTTTATCACTTCTTACGCGAGAGTTTTGCCTACTTTCTACTTAGTGTTCTTCAAGTACTTTCACTCTAAGCGGGGGAGAGGTAGCTCATCGATTCTTCCGGTTCGCCTCCTAGCATCGTGCTATAAGGTACCAGGCGATAACCAGGGTAGTTGATCGATAGCTCGATGATGTCATTTTGTTGGCGTCTGCAATGGGAAATTCTCATAGCAGGCGTTGACGATGGGGCGTTGTCGAATAGCAACTATCGTGGTAACTCACCGATTACCTGTCGATCTGCCAAATTTGGAAAGGCGTCTGCATTGAATTGTCTCATTAAATAATATTCCGCCCACTATATCACAAGAAATTGCGAGTAGCTGAGTGGAATGGAGATAAGTTAAGCATTGGGTACAGGAGCAAGTCTCCCCTGGGTGGTGCCAAAAGATGAGCGCAATAGAATCATCAAGTTGCCATAAGGCACGGAATGAGACTATTGCATGGCTGGGTAGTCAAAGTCTACTACTACAGTGGCCTGCTTACTGAGCAGAAAAACGCGGTCCCAGGTCCTTACATATCAAAGAGATTTATGGTAAAATCGCTTGTGTATCGTGTATTGCGAAAAACGTTGTTGTCGTTGGTTCCGGGTTTGAATGGATACACAAATTTGAGCAACGGTATTATGTGATATGAGGGGCTCGGTGGCCTTAAAGCAACTGTTTTTGCTTACTGAGCAGAACATCATGAGTCTAATATCAGGCCCATCCACATTCAAGATTCGTCAATCGTTTTATTTGTTAATATGACTACATGGTAATAACAGCAACTCGGTGATTAAAAAGGTGCTCGTCTGCCTAGTGGCAAACGTTTTTGCTTACTGAGCAGAAGACCGTGGGTTTAGTCCCAAGCTCCTTCGCGTTATATGATCGTTAGGACATCAATTCAGCTTATCGTTTACCAAAACGAACCCTGCTGCAAACCCAACCCTCTTATCCAACATCCCAGTGATTCCTCGTGGAAGTGCAGAGGTGTTCTCGGTTTCCATCAAAGCGAGTGTCATGTCAACACAATCCTTCCCATTCCTTTCTTGACCTGTGTTCGGGCGCGGCCGGCGCAGGTATTGCCTAATTTAAGATCACCAGTTTTTACACATTGAGGATGATTGCTAGTCCCAAGCATCGTCTATTGGTTCTCTGTGTAATTACAGCTGATCTGGCAGTAACAGAGTAGCAACCGTGGGCGGTCAATCAAGCTCAAGCTCAAGCTCAAGCTCAAGCTCAAGCTCAAGCTCTTCAAGCACTTTCACTCTAAGCTCATGAACATCGATTTTTTTTTTAAATCAGCCAGATTTTCTAGACCAGGCTGTTAATCAAACCCACCACCTTCGGTTTTTTGATACCGCCATAATTGACTAGGCAACTTCTCTGGTTCGTCTCTGTACCTGTAGCCAGAACGAGGGAAAAGCAACTGGTGAGAAAATTCAATGAACGAGGGATGCTCCATTTGCACATCAATGCTTGGGAATGTGGATGATAGAGGGTGCTAGTGTGCATGCAAAATACGCTTGACGATCTTTTAAGAAGAATTTTCTTTTGAGAGTTATGTCTGTTTGTCTGTGGTAGACACATTTGTGAAAAGGGCGCAATTTTCCCGCCCTCTGTTCAACTTTTGGTTGGCTGGGGACGTAGTGGTTAGCATCGATGCTGTGGTAGATGTTGCCTCTCACGATAAAGGTCACGAGTCCATGTCCCATCCCCGGATAAGTCACGAATGGCCTATAAAAGTGACTATAATAAAAAACCAAACTTTTGCTTGGCGGGTGCCACCCGTCAGTCATCCAAGTTTGGAGTCGAGCAGTGTGATTGTCTTGCAGCCTTTTCTTAAATTGAGCCCTTGAAATAACCTGTGCTGTAAAACAAGTTCCACACCACTTTTCTGCACATGCCAATTACTGTCCAGCCCATCATTTCTTTCCATTCAAGATGTGTTGCATAAATTTTACCACATGACCAACGAAGGATTTACTATACTGAAATTAAATTTTCCCTTTTCCCCTCGTACAGCCCGTCACCAACCTGTACAAAGATCGAGTGCTACACACGACATGAGCCCAAAATCGGCAACATAAAGGTTAGTGATAATTCCTTTCATGTGCTGTCATTATATTGTATTTAAAATCGGATTCGCTACTTACTTAATGTTATTGTGACTTATCAGTTTAATTATGCATGCATCATCTTCGGGGCCAATGACGTCATCAGTAACTGATCAGTAGACACATATATGATGAAAAATACTTTAATTGTGTTTTTGAAAAAAAAAAATCGACACTCTAGTTAACCTTCTGTTCTGCACTCACACTCATTTATCCGCCAAATCCGAATCCTTGCGCACCGGCATTTGCCGCCGATCCGGACATGCCACCTCCCATGTGACCGAATCCACCACCCTGGCCGAAGCTCTGGGCTCCGGCGTTGGCCGCCGAACCGGACATTCCACCTCCGTGATGTCCACCACCCATTCCGAAGCTTTGGGAACCGGCGTTAGCAGCCGATCCGGACATGCCACCTCCCATGTGACCAAACCCACCTCCCTGGCCGAAACTCTGGGCTGCAGCATTGGATGTCGAACCGCTCATTCCTCCTCCGTGATGTCCACCACCCATGCCAAAGCTTTGGGAGCCAGCGTTGGCAGCCGATCCGGACGATCCGAATCCAAACTGTGGGGCGCAGCTAACGGAAGCGATGATGCTTGCAATCAGAACAAAGACTGCGAATGACTTCATTTTATTTTTTGATTAATTGGAAGCCTAGAGCTTGAACACTTGATGGGAATTTTTGACTCTGAGGTAGAATTGAATATGATGCTTGACTTTCTGTTCCAGCAATCTTTTATAGTCCCGCAAACATTCGTTGCGATTAATTATCGCCGCTGTACGTTTGATGGAGGCCGGTTATCAGCTGTTAGCAGGACCGGCGTTGCTTGGTAGGACTGCCGCTTTCCTGTTTCAATGGTTCAATGCGTGTGGTGACTTTATGAGTTTCGGGTTTTTTTTCTTCATCCAGACGTAAACGCATTACAAACATACAGGGATTTCCGTCGCTGGGATTCCCAGTGTCCATGAATGTCCACGGAATCTATGGAATAATATGGTAAAGTCGGTCCCATACTCTGTAACGCAAACCAATGGTGGCAATGAAATGTCACATTCAATTCGAAATAATTGAATAATTCATCAGTGTGGTTGACGGTAGACATCGCAACCATGTGGATGTATTTAGGAGCAATAGCCTGATACAAAATTTGAAATTCGTTTAGTTGGCGCACTGCCAGTCGGCTTTGAAATCGATAGAGAAAGTTTTTCACTTTTTTTCAGTTTCTTGTCTGTTTTCTTCTACTGCTGTCAGTGCTGAGTCTATTGTGCAGAGACATGGATTAATTTAATACCCCGTTCACATTACAGCCTATATCACGTAATATAGTCTGTCTTACAAAGAGCACGCATACATAGGATTTCCAGTGCTCATTGCAAGACACCGTATATCACGTGATATACGCTGTAATGTGAACGGGGTATAAGCTGTCAGTTTTAATCTCGTCTCTACTGACAGCATGGCGCCACCTTCCTACGGGCAAAAAGCTACTCAAAAAAAAATGTATGGAGATTTGAACCTTTTTCCAAAAATATCGATTTTAGAAGCGAAACGAGATGGCCAGGTCCATCTTCTTGGGAACCACTGTGACGCCATTATCGCTGTAACAATGTTTGGTGTAATATTGTCGTTCAAGTTGGACACCGGAAAACCTACACGCGACATTCGATTTTACCCTCGTTCGTCGGACATAGTGCGCTGAATAGCGCATCATTGTGCGAATACAGCGCACTATGTCCAACGTTATGTTTAACGTACAGAACGATAGTAAATTCAATTGGCGCGTGTGGGATTTCCGGTTTTCAACTGAAACGATAATATGAGTAGTGGAAGCTTGCCAAGTTCGACAAGAATAGACAATCCACCTCATGCTGCTCCAGAATAGACAATCCACCTCATGCTGCTCCAGAAATGGCAGTAGTCTCTTCAGTAGGCACTCCTCCTGGTAAATTTGCTGGTCCCAGAAGTAACGAAAGTTTCGAATTTATTGGGGAATTTCGACTTCTTTTTGATTTTACATTCTTCCGGGGCACTCTTCCGGTCAACCGAGGTATAAAATTCCTGCTCAAGAATTTGATCGAAAACTGCCAGGAGTAGATAGACCAGGATTTTCGTTTCAAGCGTGCTTTCTTCGGTGAAGCCATGATGTAAACAAATGAACTTATCCTGACAACCAATGCCTACTGTGATTCTATACACTCTTAGCTGGATTTAGTTGAATTTTTGGGCAACTTTTACTCATCAAATGCCTTATTGGTACAACAGCAATTGTATCTGTAGTTGAGTTAAATATTAACTAAAAGAAAGTCGATGAAGAGAGTCGATCTATGCAGATAAATTTTTTAGTAATGTTTATCTAGACATTACATCTTGCGTAACATTTGAAAACGACACCAAAGCTTATGTAAAAAAAAGTTGTAAGTTCCTTTACACGAGAACCGAAGTACGCCCACGCAAACCAACAAGATCATCGGTTAAGGGAAATTCTAGTACACTGAACGAAAACATCCGCAATACTTCAACTGGATTGATGATTGATTTATGGTTAAATTCGTCATCAACTGATGAGCATCCATATGACTGTCATCCAAATAAAGGATGATGTTTATTTAAAAATTGGTTGTAAATCATGCAAGGCTCAGAGGACAACAATTTAAGAATAGTATGTATTGCAAACCAAACAAACAATTCAGAGTCACAAATAAGCATATATATTGAATAAATGCTGTATTTATTGCAGCATACAATGTGCAATGCCCAATAAAACGAGTTGTCGAATTATGTGCTGAAAAACGTCCATTGAAATCGATAGATGAACCTTTATTCCGCTGTTTGCAATGAGGTGATTAATTTACTTTATAAGCTTTGACTGTCTTCCCGATTCTACACCAGAAGTTTCCCAACAAACAATCGTCTATTGGAGAAATGACTTCTTGACGATTTTATTCAACTATATGCTTAATAATAATTGCATTATTTTTAAAAATAACTTCTGTTCAGGCTTTGTTCACACAAATCTGGAGAATTTATTCAACCACAACACATTGAACTTTTGGTGGTGTTGTATAAAGTATGTCGAGAAGCTGTTATTCGACTTATATGAGTTGTAACAGAGCTTATTCGATAATATTTTTGATTATTCAGCGTTTATTAGACACCACTGCTTCCTTAAAACAGTGATGCTCTCTGTACACACGCTTGATTCTCATATGAAGGTAACGTTTAATTAGACATTATTATACATTTATTAAACGATTAATTCAACTGTGGGAAAATTAACCCGAAAATAAGAGGGACGCGGGGACAGGGAATGGTGTGTTTTCTTAAGTGATTGTTTTCATTATTTGTGACGTGGCTCGCACTACACAGATATTAGAAAATTTATTAAATACTTATACATGTCGTTGCATGGGATTCGAACCATGTACCTTTCGATTATCAGCCGAAAACATTTATTAGACGTCTAATAAAGTATGCTATCAATTGAAAACAGTCGAATTAAAGCGTCAATCTCAATGTATGTGCAAATTACACTTATTCAGTTTGTTATTAGATCAAACTTCTGGCGTTGAATTGGGAAGACAGTCAACGTATATAAAGCTTTTAATAAGAAAATTAATCAGATCAGAGCAAGCAGTGGAATAAATGTGCATCTATCGACCTCAATAAGCTTTTTTCAGCACATAATTCGACAACTCATTTTATTCAGAATTGTACACTGTAATACAGCATTTATTAAATACATATGCTTATTTGTGACTCTGAATTGTTTGTTGGGATTGATCTTATAACAAACTGAATAAAGGTAATTTGCAATTGATTTAATAACATGCTTTATTAGACGTCTAATAAATGTTTTCTAGCTCCATTATTAGATTTCTTTGCATCGATTTACAATATTGCTGAATGAAGATGAATACAGTCAGCATAATAGCTCTTATACCACTATACGTCCATGTTTTAATAGCATGCATTGTAAATGCTTTATAAATGACGTATTAGATTCATTATTGCACAACACTGGTTCAGCTTAACAACAAGATGAAATCAGTGGAAAACTGGTTACCGTCTCCGCTTTCCAAGTAGAAGCTCGCGAGTTCAATCCCAGCCTCAACCTCAATTCACTTTTACTAATTCTTTTTCACTATTTAATTTCACTATCACTTTAAACTATAACAGATACGTATTTCGTTTACTACTTGCAAATTTCAACAGTGTCTAGTCATAGTCACACTGAAGAAGTTTGCAGTTGTAAACGAAATACGTATCTGTTATAGTTTAAAGTGATAGTGAAAGTGAATTAGTGAAAGTGAATTAGTAAGAGTGAATTAGTGAAAGTGAAAATGATGCAATAGTAGTAGAATTAAAAGGAAAACAACGTAATCAATCACTCAAATTAAATTTTAATAACTCACATTTTTACAACGCAGTAAACAACTATAATAATGTGAGTCCAACCTGAAAGAGTCACGACCGGACAGTGAATCTAATAAAACTTTTTTCCTTCATTAACTATTAACAATAAGACTAACTCTATCTGAAGACTTCCTCTAACTCTTTCAATACTTATTCTTTATAATTATGTTTTCACTGGAAAAGTCTATGACGGAGAAAAGGACTAAGTAACTACGAATAAATTTATGATCAACTTATAATCTTTTTCGTTTGGGAATTTCGAAGAATGTTTGTCTTAAGCAGTGTTTTCCAAAGTAAAATATGTATTATTCTTAATGTCTGTTTTGTTACAAATGAATATGATTTCTAGACGGTATATATAAATAAGTTAATGATTTAATTTTTATCTACTATCACTTCATTTGATGACTAGCTTCTACAGAAGTTGCTGATTTGAACACCTGGGGGTCGCTGCCAAACCAACGAAGGCTTATCCACCGAATCCTTGACCCATTCCTTGGGCTCCTGCATTCGCCATCGATGATCCCATTCCGCCGAAAGGTCCTCCCATGCCCATGCCTTGGGCACCAGCATTAGCGTTCGAAGCACTCATGCCACCGCCCATACCGGGGAATCCTCCCATGCCCGTGCTCTGGGCACCAGCGTTAGCGTTGGAAGCACTCATGCCGCCTCCCATGCCAGGAAAGCCTCCCATTCCCATTCCTTGGGACGCAGCTTGGGCTCCTGCACCGGACGTTCCGAATCCAAACTGCGGAGCACAACTCACAGCCAAGGTTGCAAATACTCATTTCAGCTAAAATAATGTTTTTCGGAATAATAAAACCAAAAGATGGTATGATGTCATGTTTTACTTGTAACTTACAAGAAGAGGTTACAAAGTATGCGTTTGAAACATAAAACCTGTAAATTTTGCTTTCTATGAGTCACAATCAGCGATTTTCTGATCGCTGAGTGAGTGAGTGAGTGAGTGAGTGAGTTTGTGAAAAATCGGTGATTGTGACTCTCATGAAGTGAAATAAACAGGTTTAATATGTCAAACACATTCTTTGCAACCTCTTCTTGTATCCTACCAATTCAAAATTTGACCATGGCATCTAATTATTTCATAATTTAGAAAAACATTGTTTTAGCTGAAATGAGTATTTACAACCTTGCTCACAGCAGCGATGGCACTGGCGATAAGAGCGAAAATAGCGAAGAATTTCATTTTTATACTTTTGAAACTATCACTTGGTTTGTTAACTGTGGATTGCACTGAGTCGTGATTGACTTTGATGCTTTAACTAGAAATCTCGTACCATTTTA